TCTATGAAGCACTATGTCTACATCCTTCTTGGTTTCTTGTTATAATTTTGCACAACTCTGTTAATGAACTTCTTGAATCCAATGCATTCATCTTTGGTGGCTTCTCATGTGTTCGGTACTTCCATTCCTTCAATTGATATGCTCATTAGTTCATTCACATGATCAGGCAGAAGGCGACTTCTTTCAGAACATGAAATTTTATTCAATGATGAAAAAGAACACTCAACTGAAGCTGTTGTGACTGGGAGTAGCAAGAGATGAATTCCTACTTCTTTCAGCCCAGGAAACAGAACACAAAGATCGGGTTGAGCCACTAATGATGATAAAATAGAAGTGACGTCAAATCTTCATTCATTCATTGAATGATATTCCACTCTGTGTTCAAATTCTTTATTCTGTCCTGAGCACATGGCAGCCCCCTTGCTGGTAGTGCCTCACTCTGCACAACTGTCAGTGTTTTATAGGACAGGCAGCTGTAAGAGCTATGTAGAGGTTGCGTAGAATCTAGAAGTCGCTGTCGTAGATTTTTAAGAATCAAGTCTGTGTACTTTTTCAGTTGTCTTAACAAACACTTCTTGTCCTCTTCACTTAAGGATTTAATATAAATGGCTTCATTAGTCAACTTCTGGACTGAAGTCTTTGCTTCTTCCAGTACTTTTTCAATGGATAGCTCTCGGATTGATCCAAATGTAGCTTCTATTGCTGGACAAAGATCTACTACTGTTGTAGCAGATGCTTAATGACCCAAGTGGTTTCAATGGTAGTCTTACGAGAGAGAGAATGGCAATAGTATTCTCTGAACGTAGTAGTAAAAGTAATTCACCAGCCTCACTACTTAGATTCATCCCATCTTGGTAGATACTTTCCAAAGCCAGTAATAACGGCTGGAGTAATTTTAAGACAACAGCCAAGGATCGCTCATGAAAAAGCCAGAGGGTTTTCCCAGGTTGGACTAATTTGAACTTCAGTCCCAATGTATCTTCTCTATTTTCCAAGATATTCAGTCTTTTTGGACTCTTGCTGAAAAAAGAATACAATGAAGACATTAAATGTATAGCTTTTTTAATGTCTTTTGAAGATTCTGCAGCTCGTACTAGGGCTAGTTGGAGTAGATGGCCTCTGCAGTGTGTATAGGAGAGATTAGAGTTACACTTTTCTCTGAGCAAAGCTTGTGCTCCACCATGTCTTCCAGAGAAGTTTGCAGCTCCATCAAATGCACAAGCAGCCATCTGTTTGGAGTCCAATTAACTCTTCTAAGATGTGGGTTGTCACAGATGCAGCCGACGTGTCTTCTATAACTTGAACATCTAGAAATGCATCTACTGGCCTATCCCTGACATCAAGATAACATACACAATGACTTAATACTTGATGCCCATTTGCATCGGTGCATTCATCAGCCATGTATGCAATTTTTTTGAATGTGGTGAGAGAGTTTTTCACTTTTTCAGTTGTTGAGACTTGTTGAGTCTTTCACTGTTACACCGCATGCTTCTAGCCAGTCAGCTGAGTTTCTTGCAGAAAGATAGTGAGCATTTGCTGGTCTTGTTCGGAACCAGTGTTCAACTTCAGGATAAACAAGTGACAATGCACTTAACATTGGCCTCCAGTTTGTAGTGTGCGGTATCTCTTGCTTAAATAGAAAGTAGGATGCCACAGCCATGTTTGTTCGCATGAATTGTGTTGTGTCTCCAGCATTCTTAACAGCCTCATTAAGTACTTCTAAAATTGGCTTTGAAAGTGGGCTTATAAGGCTTTCTGCATGTTGATGCACTCCAGAGGCCTGGTGTTTTGCAGCCTTTTCACTTAGTTTGTCAGCATTGACTTTGCTGATCGGTTTGACAAACCAAGCTCCTCCGCTTTTACCAATTAGAGCATTGGGAAGCTTTCCTTCTTCGTAAGCTTTTTTGCAAGAGATGCACCAGTAGCCATCTTTTGTAACTTCCATAAATGGGAACATTTTGACCGACAAACATCGGGAACTGCCTTTAGGTTTTGGAGACACTGTTTCTTCAGTAGGTAGCTGTATTTGTGCTTCGGGCTAGTCGGATGTAGATATACCACTTGAACCTTCAGATGACATGTTGATATATTCTTGGTTCTTGATGTGTTCTTCACCTTGGTTAGTTTTTGAGGCCTTTGAGTGGAAAAATTGTTGTATTGTTTTTTGTCTTTTCATTTTCACTTTGACCTGCAACATATAAAAGAGATATGAATAAAGTAAATGTTTTGTTAGGATAATGCAAATTTAACATAAGGATAATGCAAGTTACACCAATACACATTACAGGTCTAGATTTCTAAAAAAATATTTTTTTAAAAAATGTATTTAATTTAAATTGACTTTTGAAAAGTAAGCCATCATGGGATAAGAGGGAAGTCCTCTCATGGATCAGTTACTGGTTAAAAGATGGGAAACAAAGGGTAGGAATAAATGATCAGTTTTCAGAATGGAGAGAGATAAATAGTGGTATCCCTGAGGGGTCAGTGCTGGGACCATTACCGTTCAACATATTCATAAATGATCGGGAAAAATGGGTAAACAATGAGGTGGCAAAATTTGCAGATGATACAAAACTATTCAAGATAGTTAAGTCCCAGGCAGACTGCGAAGAGTTACAAAGGGATCTCACAAAACTGGGTGACTGGGCAACAAAATGGCAGATGAAATTCAGTGTTGATAAATGCAAAGTAATGCACATTGGAAAACAATCTCAGCTATACATAAAAATGATGTATAAAAAAGAGATGGGCAACTAAAATGATTAGGGGTATGAAACAGGAGGAGAGATTAAAATGACTGGGAATTTTCAGCTTAGAAAAGAGACGACTAAGGGGGGATATAATAGAGGTCTATAAAATCTTGACTGGTGTGAAGAAAGTGAATAAGGAAATGTTATTTAATCCTTCACATAACACAAGAACTAGCAGTCACCCAATGAAATTAATAGGCAGCAGGTTTTAAAAAAACAAAAGGAAGTACTTCTTCACACAACATAAAGTCGACCCGTGGAACTCTTTGCCAGGGGATGCTGTGAAGACCAAAACTATAACAGGATTAAAAAAAGAACTAGATAAATTCCTGGAGAATAGGTCCATCAGTGGCTATTAGCCAGGATCGGGAGGGATGCAACACCATGCTCTGAGTGTTCCTAGCCTGTTTGCCAGAAGCTGGGAATGGGCAACAGGGGATGGATCACTTGATGATTACCTGTTCTGTTCATTCCCTCTGAAGCACCTGGCCTTGACCACTGTTGGAAGACAGGATACTGGGCTATATGGACTATGGACCATTGGTCTGACTCAGTATGACCATTCTTATGTAAAAATTAATAATAATAATAAAAATGTTTAGCACAGAAACTCCCTAATATAATGACCTCTCAAGACAGCAACGATGTGAGATAACAACCTTGGCAAATAATGCATTTTAAAAATCTTGGCCTACTAGGAAACACATTTATATAAGTTTCCATTTCCAGTCACAAATCTAGCATTCTGGAGCAAAGCCACTAAAATATAGTCCAACAAACAAATGTTTATTTAACGTGCCCCTCACTTTTCCCTCCACCTCACCCCACTCACCGGTGTTGTCATTGGTCAGTGGAGAGTTCAGAGGTGCTTTCACGTGAGGCAAGAAGGCACCTTGCTCGTTCCTCCAGCTGCTCACTGTTCGCTCTGGCCACTGCTGTTTGTTGTGCCTCCGTTCACTCCACCACTCTGTTGCCAATGGCCCTGCGCCATCACCTTCTGCTGCCACCTGCCACTGTGACCTCTGCGAGTCGGTCTCTTGAGGTTCCACCCAGCTCTCAGTGATTTCAGCTGAGCTCTCAGTGGGGGAACCTCGCTGCTAGTGCAGTCTGGGCCGTCTCTTCCACAGAAACACTGTCCCACAGCAGGACTAAGCACTTGGACCTGATTATCAGTGATTTCAGCTGCAATGGTCACTTAACAGAACAAAAGACTATCTATGGAGCCTAATCAGCTCTGTCTTTAAACAGTGGAGAGGGACAGGCCCCTCAATCAGCACAGGCTAAGGACAGTTCTACTGCCCTTTACTCATACAATAAGAACAATAACATTTCACACACACACACACACACACACACACACACATTCAAGTGATTTGTAACCCAACCCCAGCCAAAATCTATCACTTGGGCAACACAGCTCTGTTTGCTGGGTACCTCGGTAGATTAGGTGTGACTGTAAATACAATCTGGTCCTGAAGCCTTTCCCCCCAGCCCCAGCTCATCACTAGCTGTCAGGGAGAGCTCATTTAGGCCTTGGCTACACTGGCAATTCACAGCGCTGCACTTTGCGCTCAGGGGTGTGAAAACACACCCCCCTGAGCGCAGCGAGTGCAGCGCTGTAAAGCGCCAGTGTAATCAGCGTCTGCAGCGCTGCACGCTCGCTCGCAGTGCTGCAAGCTATTCCCCTCGGAGAGGTGGAGTACTTGCAGCGCTGCGAGAGAGCTCTCACAGCGCTGGCGGCGCGACTACACTCGCGCTTCACGCGGCAGCGCTGTGCATCCGCGAGTGTAGCCAAGGCCTTAGACTTTGCTTACAAATCATCATTTGAAATTATTAGGTTGGCCAACATCACTGAAATGAATGCACCGACATTGTCATAAAAACAACAGCCGTATAAGGAAGCTAGTCTATGTTCATACTTTTCAAATCTATTATACTTTTTCAGATACACGTAATTAATCATACGGGGGGGGGGGTGTTGGGGAAATTCGGGGGGGTGTGTGTACACCCCCCCAGGGGGCATGTAGGGAAATCACTGGTTGCTGCTACTTGGGAGTCTCCCTGTGCCCTTGGTGGTGGTGGTGGGTGGGGGGGGGCTGCTTGTGCCCCTGACCAGGGCCCCGCCAGCCGGTGGGGAATGGGTTTACTCTGGGAGGAATCTGGAGTGACTCCTGCTCTGCTGGGGAGGATTGAGGGGAAGAGCAGAACCAGACCAGCCCTAAGGCCCCAAGCGAGGGCCGTGCCTACCTCCAGCTCGTAGAAGGCCATGAGTACGGCGAAGCTGGTCAGATGGTTGCACTGGCAGTGGGTGATGGTGGTGGTCAATTTCTGCAGGGTGCAGCCATGGGTGGCCCAGCGCCTGCTGTCAGGCTTCCAGTAGGCGCAGAAGAAGCGCAGGTCGGTCTTGTTCTCCTGGGGACAGAGAGACACTTGGTGCATGGCGGGGCAGGAGCGGGGTGGGGGGCTGGCTGGGGCGGCACAGGGGGCAGGACTCCCCAGGCTCCGAGAGGGCTGGTCCGGGGGGTACGAGGGGTTGGGCTGGGGACACAGAGCATCAGTTTGTCCCTGTATGGGAGGTGGATTCACCTGCTGCATGGGGTGGAGGGTGTTACTAGAGATGGGCCCAGGCTTTGCCCCTCAGTGCCCCAGGCTCTCCTCCCCCCATGCCCAGCCCAGGGGCTCACCGGCACCGGGTGGCTGAAGCAGATGCTGACGGAGAGGCCGGGTGCCTGGGGATTCGGGTCACTGATGAGGGCTGACACCACCGGAGACAGCACGTGGTAGCTGGGCCGCCCCGGCTCCTGTGCCCACTTCCCCGTCTGGCCGATCTCGTCCCACTCGGGCACCTCCACCCGCCCAGCACCATCCAGGATGGGGCTCATCCCCTGGTATGTCAGCAGCCCGGCCAGCGTGAAGCCTGCGAGAGACAGAGGAGACGGAAGAAATGGGGGGCAGGAGGGGCCCTGGGGCAGACTGGTGCCAGGGGTGCTGTGCTGCTGGGGGTGCTACCCCCAATGCCCTGACTGTGCCCCATCCCCCTACACACCCCATCCTGTTGCTAGGGGGCGCTGTGCTGCTGCTCCCAATGCCCTGGCCAGGCCCATCACTATACACACCCCAGCACAGGCGATGACCACATACCTTCATTTTTCTGCCCTGGGGCTCCGGCCCACTTTAATTCCATCTGCGTCTTGCTCTGCTGCAGCGTCACCGTCTCCTGGCTCTGGTACCAAGCTTTCCTGACCGCCAGCCCCAGCTCTGCAACCACAATGCCAGCCAGGGCTCACAACAGAGAACACGGACAGGAAGCCTGTAGCTAGGCAAGGTGCTTTCCTGGCTGTAGGGAGAGACCCCAGCTATTCCGGTCCCAGCCTCTCCCAGCAGGGGCCGCTTTGGGGAGCAGGGCAGGAGCACTGGCTGTGGGGGGAGTTCCTGTCCCCCAGCAGAGGGTGCTGGGGGGCGCGGAGGGGGGGGGAGCACCGGCTGTGGGGGTGAGTGCCTATCTCCCAGCAGGGAGCACTGTGGGGAGTGGGTTGGGAGCACTCGCTGTAAGGGGGAGCTCCCATCTCCCAGCAGGGGGCGCTGTGGGGCGTGGGGCGGGAGCACTGGCTGTGGGGGGGAGTGCCCGTCTCCCAGCAGGAAGCACTGTGGGGAGTGGGGTGGGAGCATAGGCTGCGGGTGATAAAAGCCCAATGGGAAATGCTGGGGCCACGTGGCCAGGTGCTGACCTGTGCCGTTGGTGGATGCGATGCCTTCCCACAATCCCCATGAAAGGAAAGACACATTCTCCTGCAATTGACATCACTGCCTGAGAGGTCAGACTAGATTATCACAATGGTCCCGTCTAGCCTAGGAACCTAGGACAGCAGCTTCTTGGGCAGAGATCCACTGGAGAGGCAGGCATGGGAATTTCTGGGCAGTGCTGCTGTTTATTTATCTCCTGTTCCAGGTGCTGCATCCCTATAGATCACCCTGAGACTAGTTCCAAGTAGGAGCAGCGATTCATAGAATCATAGAATATGAGGGTTGGAAGGGACCTCAGGAGGTCATTGTGACAGTGTACCCCATAAGGCTTTATGGGGAGGGGGTGCTTATAAATGTATGTATGACATAACTGGAATATGTTTTGTGCTGCCTGTGCCATGTAACATATCTCCGTAAGGGTTGTGATCTACTATATCTATATCTATTCATCCTATTTGTACGTATATATCATTTTCTACTCGAGCTTAAGAATATGGGAATGATTTCTTTAGTGTGGCAGAATCTGTCCCAGGGTTGGTTAGCAGTGAGAAGGAATCTTGTGCTAAAAGCCCCAGAGGGGGGGGGTTGAAGTCACACGGACTGCTGGGGGAATAGGAGAGTGTCTCTTAGGCCTGGTCTACACTAC